TTGGAAGATCGATCTTCCTTCAATATGAGAAATGTGAACTTGGGTTTCTTCTCTAAGTTTATATTATTAAATCAACATTAGCAAAATTCCATTTGCAAAACAAAAGAGGTTATAAGGTGCTTTTATTCTTCCAAAGTCTTCTGCTTAAAAATGAGGACAGGGGATCCCTGGGTGGCTCAGCAGTTTAGAGCCGCCCTCAGCCCAGGGCATGATCCTGGAGACCCAGGATTGAGTCCCTCATCGGGCTCCCTGCATGGAGCCGGCTTCTCCCTCTGCCTGTGTCTCTGTCTCTCTCTCTGTCTATCATGAACGAATAAATAAATAAAACCTTTTAAAAATGTTTTAAAAAATGAGGACAAAGAGTGCCATAGACTGACGGTGTGTCCCCTCAAAGTTTGTATGTTGAAACCAACCCCTAAGGTGATGGTGGTAGGTGATGGTGGTAGGAGGCAGGGTCTCAGGGAAGTGACTAGGTCATGAAGGTGGAGCCTTTGTGAGTGGGGTTAGGGCCCTTAAAAGAGAGGCCCCCAGAGCCCCTAGATCCTTCCACCACACGAGGACACAGAAGGTGGTGAAGAAGGTGGCCATCTATGAACCAGGAAGCCAGCCCTCTCCAGACACCCAGTCTGCTGGCATCTTGACCTCAGACTTCCCAGCCTCCAGAACCGGGAGAAATTCTTTTGTGTGGCTAACAAGCCCCTGGAGATACAATGTTGTCCTAGTGGCTTAAAAGGATGAAGACAGAGAAAAGCGTTTCTGCTATATGGCAAATGGCAACTCAGGAAGAGCTCACAGTCTGCAAAATCTGCACTGTCAACACTGGGTTCTGGTATTGTCATACCAGTGTAAACCAGTGTGAGATCACAGTCAGAAAAGAGAGACGGTCGTGGTCTAATCATCGTTCCCATCACGCCCAGAACACTATCTGCTGACCCGGGGACAGTTTCATGGCATCGTTAGGGGCAACAAGTCTGGGTTGAAAGTAGCTTTGGATTCATGCCCTGCCTCTCCTGGGCATCTTAACCAAGTTATTCCACCCATTCATGTGTCTGATTTCTATAAAATAGAGGTAATAATAAGAAGAGTATTTGTTGGGACGCCTGGGGGGCTCCCCGTTGAGTGTGTCCTGATCCCGCGGTCCTGGGATCGAGCCTGCTTCTCCCTCTGCCTCCCTGCCTCTCTCTCTGTGTCTCTCATGAATAAATATATAAAAATCTTAAATAATAATAATAGTACTCGTCTCCTGTCAGGGAACAAATGAAAATACTGGGCAGAAAGCATTTGGCACAGTGCCGACACCTCTCGGAGCCGAGTCCGCTCTTCCTATGCATCTGAGGAAAGGGGGGACCCAGGAACGCCCCGTCTTGGCTCTTCTGGGGACAGCAAAGTCCCTGGCTTGTACCGGGCACTTCACAGGGGTCAGAGAAACGAGTGGATTCTGATGGGCACACATAGGGCATTTGAAAACTTCTAAGGACAATTCTCTTCCCTGGTTTGGTGGATCCCCATGTTCTGAGAAGGTGACTGTGCAGGGGGCGGGGGGGGGGGCTCAATTCGTGAATGAGATGAAGACACCAAGGCTCAGACGAGGGGGCACCGTGCCTAGAGCCGCTCAGTCACCAGTGATGGAAGCAGGATGAGCACCCGGCCCGCATGCCCTGTGCGCCTCATGCACCCCGGGGGCACCAGGGCCGAGCCTGCAGACGCTGGGCCATCCCGCTCACATCTGTAACTCCAGCGCACCAACGGTTCTCACACCTGGGTGTTTCTCCCACATCTAATCCCATTAGCTCTGACACACCTACAAAATACTCCTAAGTGAGGAGAGAGGATATTTTTAAGCTGCATTTCAAACTGTTATGTGTGGGAAGATGTATTTTAGAGCACCTGTGGCAGTGAAATCAGGCTTCATGGGGCACTGATTCTGGAAGGCCACAATAGAGGCCCCGCCCACGTCATTATTTCCCTGTGGGGGCTGCATTGAAGCCCCTCACACAGCTGCAGGCAGCCCTCCACTCTCTGCAGTTAACACCACATCACCTGCTGCGGGGGGGAGGCACCCCAGGACTTGGGGCGGGGAGTGGAGGGGTGGGCACTGGCCTGGACTTCCCTGTTAAAACAACTACTTCCTATTCTAAGAGCAGGTGCAGAGATTTTTCTTCTCAGAGGGTACTTGGAGAAATGATAACCCACTGAAGAAAAATAAATCCCCATAAGGACAAGCCGCACTGAAGTGGTTTTCAATGACTCTCCTACTTCCTCTTGCCTGAAGTCAGGAGGGTGGGTCTGTCCCCACTTTCCAGCCTGGGATACCTGCCTTCTCCCTGGCCTGTGCCTCTCTTGAGGGAAGGATGAAGGAAAGATGATAAGGACCCTGCTCCCTGATGGCTGACCGTCCACCAAGGGGACCTCCTGTGGGGCCCAGCAAAGGCAGGGCGGTGAATGCCCACCATCTATCCTCTGTGTGTGTCCAGGCGACATTCTGGGTTGGGAGGAAGGGGGTGGAGGAGAGTCCAAGCCCCTTCTAACCTGGGGCTTCTGCTCAAGGAGGGGCAGAGAACACCCAAGGGAACAAGTCACCGGCATTCGAGGAGGGACTGCACCCCACAAGAATTAAGAGGGGCCAGTCACGTGGGGCCACCTAGGAGTTTCCAAGAGCCCCTGGAAGCTACCAGAGGCTAGAAGCAGAGAAGCGAAATGATCCAGTAAATGTTTTCAAATTATAAACCACCTAATTTCACTCCTCCACTGATCCTATGAGTTCTCAGCACTCCCTCTTGTCTGGTGAGGCAGGTGGGGCTCAGAGCCATAAGATAATAGTTCCAAGGTCCCAGAATCTGGATGTGTCAAGGCCAAGGTCTGAACTCCACATGCCTAGGGCCCCTGCACTATGAGCCCCCCCCCACGCTCCACCCATCCGCTCTGGGAGTAGAACTTCCAACAAGAACAATACAACTCTCAGGCCCTATCCCCCACCAACAAATTCAGGACTTCCAATTTCTTGACTGAAAGGTTGGATAAATGTGAGCACGTCCTCTGTAACAGAGAATAACTTCATTTATAGAGAGGGCATTCAAGGTATTGGCTGACAGCTCCTCCAACTGATGCTCAAAATAGCTCCACACCCATTGGGACCTGGCCCTGCTAGCCCTTGACTTCCACAGAAGCCTGGACCCTGACTTGACTTCCACAGAAGCCGGGACCCCATCCAGGTTGCCACAGGCACTCATATTATTAATGGTCACTCCTGTGAAACTTGGAACTTCATCCTCTTGAAAATCATAGTGTTGAGTTATACACACCCAAATGTCTCTTATCAGCTGTTATTAACAAAAAATCATACTCATAAAGCAACTTTGGACTTCATTAACGTTGGTTCTGGAAAAGTCTTACCGGGGTTCTGGCCTGCAAAGTGGTGCCAGGTGAGCGGCTTGAGAGTCTGTGTGGTGCGGCCAAGTGTCAAGGGAGGAGGGAAGGGTTGCTGGGAGTCGGAGTTGGAGGGCCACTCAGACACCCCCGAGCCCCTGAGCTCCTGGGGAGGGGCCTCGTCCACCCTGGCCCGGTTCCCAGCACAGCAGCTGCCCACAGCGTGTTCACAGGGATGGTGAGAGCATGAGGTGTTGGTGACGTCGCTCAGAAGGTGTCCGCCTAATGGCCCCATGTCTCAGGGATGCAGGGCCATCTTCTTCCTTGGAGCTGGATGAGACGGTGCATGTACAGAAGGGGTTTGGAAAACACACCCACAGTCATGGAGCAGCGGGGGAAAGACGGCTAAGATACTAGAGACCCATACAGGACAGCACATGACCAAATGCTGAACAAGGAAGGAATGGAATGGCACCAGCTGGAGCTGGAGCCAGAGGGAAAGGACCCCGTGGATGGACTGGTAGGATAACGCCCCCTCCCCAACAGAGAGGCCAAGGTGCTAATCCTGGGGCCCGAATGCTGGAGGCTCTCTGATAAAGGAAAATGAAGTTTGCAGATGTGATTAAGGTCACTTGAGGTGGGAGATGATCCTGGAGCATCCACGAGGGTCCAGTGTCATCTCAAGCCTCCTTAAAAGTGGAAGAGGGAAGCAGGAGGAGGACCCAGAGGCTTGGAAAGAGGAAGGGACCACGCAAAAGGAACACAGGCACCTCTGGAGGCTGGAAAAGGCGAAGAAATGGATCCTCCCCTCCAGGTCCAGAAGGAACGCGGCCCTGCCCACATGTTGATTTAGCCCAGTGGGGCTCCCATGCTCCAGAACTGGGAGAGAATGGGTTTGTGTGGCCTAAGTGGCTGCATTTATGATAAGTTGTTAGAGCAGCACAAGGAATCGACCATCGGGGATGCTGCAGGACTTATGATGCCTGGCAAGGTGGAGGCCAAGAGGTTGCCCAGGCAGGGGGACCTGCCTGAGAAAAGGCAAGAAGAACCACATGGTGTATAAAATGTGCAGGGAGGAGCTCATGTTCCTGGAGCAGGACCCCGACAGTAGTGAGGACCAAGGTCACAGGACCCTTGAGTTAGAGAAGCAGACCAGACATGAGGTGCTGAGCCTCAGAGAGGCACACAGGGTTTGCCCTGGGGGGAGCCATAGAACAGCCTGGAAGAGGTTTGTGTGGTGGTGAGAAGCAGTGGTGGGGGTGGGAGGAGAGGACAAATGCCTCTGGCTGCCGATGCCTGCTGGATTTGCCGATGCCCGCCTCCCCGTGCCTGTGCAGACAGATCACAGGAAGGGGAAGCGCTCAAGAGGTGGAGGAGGGCCCACGTGGGTCCGGGTACCAGCAGCATCCTTTGTACTGAGGGCTCCTTGTAGAAGACACATATCCTGAGTCTCATCTCAAGGCTCTCTCTCTAAGATGAGGATCTGAGGCAATGCCCTTCCTGCTGGGAGAAGTGGAGCTAATGCATTTGGAATGCCATGTGGGGTATCCAACCCAAGCCCAGCGAACCGCTGGCTGCGTCTCCTGCCAGAGCGGCTAGCAATGCAACCAGAATCCTTTCTGCACCACCAGTACCTGGATGTTGAGTCTCCCTCGATGCGCACCCAGGCCATAGCGCTTCGAAGTAGATGCATGAAGCTGGAAGTCTGTGATTTTCAGGGTCTCCAGACCCAGAGGTGGGCAACCTAGAAAGGACAATGCTTGTTAAAAACAAAGACAGATGTTCAAAGGCAACTTTCCAGTTTTCTCCATCTGGCCCCCCAGCTTTCCATTTGCTCCTGAGCCCCCAGCCACCAGCGCGGCCCACCCCCTGGCAGGTCCAGGGCTTCCAGACAGAGGCCGTTGTCAACTCAACCATGAGTATGTCAACTGCCTTTCTCATGGGCATTTCCTCTCTGGCTGTTTGTGCTCTGCTATCCCTTATCTCTGTTGCTGTCCATGCTACTGTCTGAGGCTGTTTCCAATTAAGGATCCTTCCACGGTGTGACTCAGCCAGGGAGCGCTATTGGTTAGAAATTTTGAAGTGATCCCGTGGTTGAACTCTGCAAATTAATCAGAACTTGTTGATTTTGCTTCAGCAACTCTGGCCTTTGTGTTGTGCATGCTAATGAGCAAGGCAATATAAATAGAAAAAAAAATCTATTGTTTTCCATTCTTGGCAAAACTGGTAGTTTTGAGAACAGCTACCAGACACAGTTTAGTCCAAGCTGCCCCTGGAATAAGACACTGGAGCTTGGGCAGGCCCCTGGTGATCCTCCCTGTCCAGACCAGCATCCTGTAGGTATGGGCTTTGACGGCAGCTCCAGGGTCAGCTCCCAGGCCTCCTGACTCCTGGGCTGCTCTTCTCACCGCCCACTCTGTCTTGGAGCTAGAAGTCTCCAAGAGATGAAATCTGCTTCCTCAAATCTGACCCTGGAGAAAGAAAACAAAAACTCTGGAGGAGAAGTAAAATCTATTTCTACTGGAAGTGTGAAAAATCCCTTAAGTAAGAGGCACATTTTAAAAGCTGTGTGGGAAGAAAAAAATAAATAAAATAAATAAAATAAAAGCTGTGTGGCTCACTGCTGAGATGGGTGTGCCCCCAGGGACCCCAGGACACCTGAGGATGTGGGGGTATCTGTCCATCCATGACAAACCCCTGCAGGGAAGAAGCCCCTCTGGTCTCAGGATGCTAGCGGAGCCTGGCAAGACAGCAGCCAGACCAGGTGCTGGGCGGGCAGCTGGGTAAGAAAGTCTGCCCACAGGTGGGGGGCAGGGCAGAGGGGTTCAGCCCTGCCAGATGCCGAGACACCATCTAGTCCTCCCCTTGGGTCCTCAAAGAGGAAGCTGAAGCCCCGAGATTAGAGGTGAGCCTTTCAAGGCATCCCTGCCAGCAGCCAAGCTGGACCTTGGATCCCGGGCTCCAGACTCAGCTCCAGGCTTTCAAACACTGCCATGCGGCTTCCCTGGCCCTGCCCACACCTGCCACGCGGCTGCCTGGGCTGGTACTTATGCATCAGCCATCTGTGCTGGATGGGGGTGGGGGGAGGTACTGGTGCCCAGTGTGGTGGGGAGCACTAAGAGTGGGGTACGGTGCCACTGCCACCCACCTGATGCTGCAGGGGAACCCAGCAGGCTTCAGCTGGCACCGTGAACAACGGTGTTCTAGCTGGATTCCTCCAGAGGGGGCTGTGCCTCAAGTGGGGGGCCATGTGAGCAGGAACCATGCAGTGAATGGGGGCGGGGGGCGTGTAGCCAGTGGGGACAAGAGAATGAATGGGGAGGGCAGGGCATGCGGCCCGTGGGGATCCACACAGCAAGCATCCCTAACCACCCAAGGCTGACCCCACAGAGGCTAATCTCATTGTCATAACCCCCTTCCCTCACTAGGATTGGCCCTGGGCACTTTCCAGGCCTGGAGGGCACAGGGGTCTGACCCACCCAGGTGGCATTTCCTCGGTCCCGATGTTGAACGAGTAATTCTCCATCACGCCTCCCGAACACTGACCAAGTGTCTGACGACTGAGCAAAGGTATTTCTCACACACTTACTCAGAAATCCACGCTGCCTGCCTCCACCAGCCACGCCTAGTCGTGGAACCTGCTCACGCTCACAGGCGGCAGCCACACCTGCCCCTCCGCAGCCCAGGCCCTGCGCCCAGCCGGGAGAGAGCAGGAGCCTGAGCCCCCACGCCGTCCCACCGTGGCCTCCGGACAGCAGCACCGCCTCTCCATGCCGCTCCTCCCTGGGCCACGTCCCTCCAGCCTCTCACTCCCCAGTGGTCACTGGCATGCACCTGAGGCCCTGCTCCAGACGCAGGGCAAGGACGGAGGGTCAAGATCACTTCCTGTCCCCTCTGGGAGGTGAGACTCCAGAAGGTCCTCCACAACCTGTCATTCAGCCCTGGTCCTGAGCCTGGGGCCTGGAGACTCCCTCAGCTGGAGATGCCGCCCACTGTCCCCAGCATCCCACCCCCCCCCATGCCCCTTGTCACCTTGTCCCAGCCCACCCTGCTCAAGGCACATCAGCATCCTCAGACAGCCCGCACCTCCAGAGCCCTGACGCCAAACGGTCTGGTCAGCCCTTCTGCTGGACGATTCCCCGTGTCCTGGGAATGGCCTCTGCACCTTGATTCCACCAGGTACGCCAGCTTTGGTTTCAGACCCTGATGGGACCAGCACACTGGTATGTCCCTCCACATCCTGGCGCTCCGTTCAGAAGCCTGGTATCCCCACGTGAGCGAGCATCAGAAATACAAAAAGGTCTTGCTACCATTTCAGGGAAACTCTTTCAAAGTTATATCAGATGTGTTCCTCCTGTTTTTTGTTTGTTTGTTTTTCTTTTTTTTTTTTTACAGATTTTATTTATTTAAGAGAGAGAGAACCACACTCACAGTAGGTGGAAGGGACAGAGAGGCAGAAGCAGGGAGCCCGACAGGGGTGCTCAATCCCAGAACCCCGGGATCATGATCTGAGCTGAAGGCAGACACTTAACCGACTGAGCCCCCCAGGGACCCCACCATCCCTCCTCCTTAGCAGAAAACACAGCAGGTGGTGAATTCCAGGTACTTCATCAAACTAACACCTTCTATTACTCATTTAGATTCAGACAGACAAACTGACAGGTGGATGGCACAAATTTTTTACGAGTTAAATAAGGAACAATAACTGCTATCCAAAGCATTTCTTCCAGGAAAAGAGAACATCTCATTTGCACATGACTATCTTAATTCGAAAAGAAACTACCTGAAAACAATTGCATACTCATCAAAATCACTCTTATATTGATAAGTGGAAGCTGCACCACATGCTCTCCCCAGGATGCACAAGGGGTGGAAAGAAAGTGCCCCTAGGTGGGGTGTTTATTGCTTACACATCTGATCTCAACCCAAGAGCTCAATGCCTGCCCCCTCGAGGGGCACAATCGCCGTGTACAGTAAGCAAGTGTGGAGTCCCACAGAGCCAGCACCACATCCGATGACAAATGTCCACTCTTGCCCATTCTTGAGATGATGTGACCACATAAGCCAGAAGAGCCACTGCTTCGGTCCACAGCACAGCTGATGACGTCTTTGGTGGGGAGCCCAGATAAACACACACGCTCAGCCTGCACGCAAACGCAGTCTTCCCTGAATCCTAATAAGGATTTTTCTTTTTCCCTTATCAGAAGACACTATCTTCAGAGAATGTGGCTTTGTTTGGGAGCCTTCTCTGTCAGCCATGCCATTAATAGAAACGCTAGGGACATCCACCCTGAGATAGGCTACAGCAAAGTCACCGACTCACGAAGGTTAGGGAGGCATCTCCGGTTGTTAGAAACCAGCAGAGGTTAACTTAAGCAGGAATGGGGGTCATTGGAGGAACAGCAGAAAGCTCCCAGAAGGGACCAGGGCAGGGACACGGGACACACACAGCAGGGAGCCCCAAGAGCCCTCATCACCCAGGCAGCAGAAACCACGGACCACGTGCTCCCAGAGGACTGGATGGATCCCCACGGCACCTCCAGCCACACCACACCTCCCGAGGGTCTGCACCAACTTCACACGGCTCATCCCAGGGAGGGCCTGGCTCACCGCATCACCAGTCTGCTCACTGAAGTCAGGTCCCGACAGCAGGGGACAGACATCTGGAGCTGCCTGTGCAGCCCTGCAAGGTTGGGGTGGGGGGTCCCACCCTGCGCAGCCCTGCGCCCTGTGATGCGATGGGTTCTCCAGCCGCCTGCCCTCACTGCCCAGCCCCACGTCCACGTCCTCCCCTGATTTTGCATTCTGCACTCTGGTTTTCTGGCTTGGCGACTCTCCTCATTTGGTGGCCTCGTCTCGGGCTCCCTGAGTCTGCTCCCTCTTGGCTACTCCTGCCCCGGTGGTTTCCATAACATGACCGTCTTCTTCCACTCAGGCTGCTGTAACAAAACCCCATGGACATGTGGCTTGTAAACAGAAGTTTATGGCTCACATGTCTGGAGGCTAGAAAGCCCAAGAGGAAGGCCCCAGAGCAGCTGCCCTCTGCTGAGGGCCCCCTGCCTGGCTCACAGCCGCCCCTTTTCACTGAAGCAGCACCTGGTGCCTCTTAGAAGGGCCCTAATCCTGCTCGTGAAGGCTCCGCCCTCAGGACATAAGCACGTCCCTAAGCCTCCCACCTCCCCACCTCCTCACACCATCACCTTAGGGGCTGGGATTTCAACACAGGAATTCCGGGGGTAGGTGACCCAGACTTTCAGGCCACAGCAATATTTCCCTGTTTCTCCCCTTTTCCCCCTCCTGGTTTGTGGGGCCTTTTCTTCCCCTGCAGCTCAAGGCTGTAACCCTCTGACTCCTGGAGAGTCCTCCCTCCCTTCCCCTTGAACAATCCATGTGGGCGCCAACAGCTGCATCCACGCAATCACGGGCACTGTCTACGCCAGCAGGGGTCAAGTCACATATTTGAGGTTTCAACTCAGGACCCCTCCTGTGAGTGCATCTGGAGACCAGACTCTTCTACAATGTTCCACGTGAGGCCTGCTTGGCGGCAGCAGCCCTGGTGGCTTCAGTCTGCTGTGGACGTGAATATCACCCTTGACACGTCCCGACTGTCAGCCCACTGCGGAAGAAGCTCTCCAAGACCGTCGTGACTTTCTCCTCTTCCTCCTCGGCATACTGTCCCCGCTCGGTCAGATGGCAGGAGCCCTGGGAGGGGTCACGGAGACGCAGCACTAGTGCAGGCTGCCC